ACTCAAAATTGATACCAATATACAACATTTCGATATGAAATTTTGAAGACCATATCAGTAACGATTCTTTTATATTATGTGTGACATTTTGCTCGATTTTGTCGTCAAATATTTTGTCTGTGCAACAAGTCCGCGTAATTTTTGAACGGCCCTCGTACTAATAGTTATTTTCATTCATATGTCGACAAAATATATCCCGGTGAGCTAGACATAAAAGATACCACAGAGGCTGACACACCTGTAAAAAACAAAGCTTTATGATAAACATAACTTTGAATTTTTAATTGTCAACCTTCCTTACTTATGCATTAATATACTCTTATTATATGCATTTGGGGGTTAATATCTCTCAGTTGATTCCAGTTGCATGAGCATTCTCTACTAAAACGAGGTAAATGTAAGTTGTTGATAAACAAGTTGAAGATACAAAAATAAATTTACTCTTTTAAAGTCAACATTTTATAAGTTCTATGGTCAATACAATGGCCTTGTCAGTTAATACAATTTATCTTTAAGTCAAATGCTGACTGCTGATTTACACTTTACTTATTCTTAGACCATTATTTACTTATTGAATTTTGGCGGATTTTTCCGTTATTTCCACATTAATGACATGGAGCACACAGCAGATGTGGCCGTTTGGCAGGGGATGCTCTCTCCTCAATAGCACCTGATCCAGCCTCTGCGGTTCGTTTTTGCTCTATTTTTGTCTGGTATTGTTTAAATGGCATTCGACCTTGAATACTCTTCGTTATCTTTGTATTTCATCCGAAATAAAAAAAAAAGTATATGCTTAATAAAGATGAATTTATTCTTTACATGGACTTTCATTTCCTTAATTAAGAGAACAATATTGTCATTGGTGAAGGTATACTACACACTGAACCACCTGGTCATTGTTGATCTACACACTGAACTTATTCGTCATTTACGAAGTACCCTTCAGAATGCTAAAAATAAATTAAAGGGTATAGTTTAACCTTTAGTGGAAGAAAGAAAAAAGCTTAAATTCGAATCGATTACTTTCCAGTATGAAGAACAATAACTCTCAGAACTATCGTGAGATAAATTGAGTGGCTTGAAAAAAAGAACGATCTCACTACATCTACAAAGTGAACAAAAACAATAAACTAATTAAATACTAGTAACAGATCTTTTAACTGAATAAATATTGAAAAGATTTGTTACTAGATGAAACTAGCATGAAGAAATACTTTAAATTTCTGCAATTCTTTTAGGAACAGCAAACACATATTCACTGGCCATGACTGGAATATTTCTTTTATCAAACCACTCCCCAAAAGGCTTTCCCGAATGAAGTGAATGTTCACTCCTCGATCCCACCTCTTATGTTTTGAAAATTTTAGAATATAAAAGATGGCTATTTTACTATCTTACCTTTATAAAACATTTTAACAGAAGTATCATAAATAAAAGTAGATCACTTTTTTTTATAAGAATTAGTCCCATCTTTTTTGCCATAGCTAGTCCAATGGGCTATACATTTGTTATTTATATGTCAGTATTTGTACTGTGTATATCTTAGGCACATTTATCTTTGTATACATGTAATGAGATATTTTTTTACATGAGATTTACTGTCTATTTTGTGCCTAAGATTTTTTTACGTGTATCATATGTACTTTAATTAAGATGTGAAATATTTTTGGCATTTTCAATAATAAATGCTCTTTTTCGACAAACTACGAGTATGTGTTATGTTATCTGTTTGGCAAAAAACAGAGCAGAATAGACTCATGCTCATGGCTAAAAAGGTATATCCATTATATTAGAAGAGGATGTTATAAAAGTAGATACACAAATTATTATTTGTATCAATTTGTATAAAAAGTATCAATTTAATTAGCGTTTTCCTCTTACATGTTATAAAGCAACTTTATTTTATTATCTGTTGAACTATGTCGAACATACTGTACTCATTGCTGTACATTTTATCTTTACTTGTAACAAAAGATTATTTGATATCTGTTGTACTATATTATTACTTTTCATACTTCTGGTGTTCTTTTCCCATTGTCAGCATTAATTTTTTGTAAAAATAAGCCTTTCACCCCATATATATACAGACCTAAAAGGTATATAGTCTTTAAGACTGCGATAAAAAGAAATTACACACCCAGACTGAAAACAGTTTATAAAAGCACACACTTTTAAAAGCTTTTTGGTAAAATGTGAAAAATTTAAGGCATCAGTTTTAGTTACTATATTTAAACAAATTTAAAAGTTATTAATTGACTCTTTCTTTTAGCAAGTTTTTTTACTTAATAAATATTGTACTTTGAGTTCGTTGTCATTATGCTTTCAGTTGTAAATATGCACATTTTATTTGTAAATTTATTAGCACAACTTACTTTCAAAATATAGAAATTCCAATATTCAAACTCATACTCACAGTTCCTTTTCTAAGGAAGAAATTCTTCAAAATCATTATTCAGTTTTAAATATTTTTTATCCCATACAACCAAAATGAATTTGAATTACCATAGCTATATTGGATTCCGAAACTTCATTAAAATCCTTATAAACAAAGTTACTCCTCACTAAGATATTAACAGCAGTAAAGGAGAAACTTAAAGAGTCCTGTGCAAAAATATATTCAAGAAGTGGAGTAAATCAGATTAAAAATACCAAGAAAATTTGAAATCACAAGATTTTTGCCAAAATCAACAGCTTCAAAACTGACAACTCTTCAACTTTATACACAACCATTCCTTATGATAAGATTGTTTTTTAACATCATTGACAACTGCTTTTTTAATAAAGATGGAAATCAAAAATTTATTTACATTGTCACTGTTCATTTGCAAAATTATTTTGTTAAAAAACATTCTGATTGTACACACAAGTACTCAGAAGTTGACATCAAAAAGATGCTTGTTTCTTATTAGGAATATGTTTGTGGTTTTTGGAGACCAGATCTTCCAACAATCTATTGGAATTCCAATCGATACCAATGGTGCTCCATTAATAGCATGACCTATTTTTGCATTCATATGAAGCAAAATTTGTCCAAAAGAAGAAAACACTTGCTGTGGCCTTCAACTCGACATTTAGATAAATCGACGTTGTATTGTCAATTATCAATGGTAATTTTGATTCTTATGTCGATACGATATATCCCAATGAGCTTGAGATAAAAGATATCAAAGAGTCTGACACATCTGTTTCATATTTGGATATTTTACTTGAAAAAGACATCAATGGTAATCTAACAACCAAGGTCTGTGATAATCGTGATGACTTTAACTTTCCATTCTACAACTTGCCTTACTTATGCAGCAGTATACCTTTATCACCTGCATATGGAGTTTATATCTCCCAGTTGAGCACGCACTTCGTATGTACAAGTTTTAAAACTAAGTAGATTATTGACAAACATGTTGAATACAAGAATATCAGTTTCGTTTTTAAAAAAAAATCATCATTTCGTAAATTCTGTGGTCGATACAATGACCCTGTAAGCAAATGCAATTTATCATTAAGTCAAATGTTGACTGACGTTTTACATACTTATCTTGAGTCCATTATTTATACACTGAATTGACGACGTTTTTTTTTTTCATTATTACCCGATCATGACAAAGAGCACACGGTGATATATGACCGTTCGTCGGGGTACTCTCTCTCCTCCATGGCACCTGATCCCACCTCTGATGTTTTAAACATCCGTGTTTTCTCTGCTCCTATTTTGTATTGTTTAACGGATTTTTTTTAGCTTGAATACTGTTACAGTGAGTGAGTGTTACTGAATACTGTTGAATACGTTATCTCAATATATTTCATTCATAGCTTACAATTATAAAGAATATTCATAACTTACACTGCCTTCAATTACTTGAGCAATATTTTTATTCCTCCGACTCGGTTTTCTTTTTAACATCGGGTAAGGACATCATATGACGTTCTAGAGTGAGATCGGACATAAACCAAAAGGTTTGCACATTTTTTTAAATTAGTACACATAACTTATTCCTTTTATTTCATTTAAATCAAGATTTGAATGAATAATTCATTAATAAAGTTTATGAAATTATTTAAAGTGCTTGTCGTCAGTTTCATTCAAAAATGTCTGTTACTGAGATCCGCAAACCGGAACCACCACCTTACTCTCGTATTTGCTATTTTGAGGCTGTTAACCGAAAATGGAGGTAGACTTTGAAAAGAATATTTCGTCAATTACCATGCAAGTCAAATCTGAACAAGTAGAGCTTTTCAAAAAAGCTAACCGTCTTTAGCAACAATTTTAAACAATAAACAGATTTACACTTAACAGGCCGTATAATTCTTTTGAATTTCTTGATTTTGTATTTCTAAATTAGCTTTTTACGGGCATTAGCCCTACCATGGTTGTCGCTCGGTCATCTCCGTAAACTTTGACTGGCCGAGAGCTTTCGGCAAACCTCGGCTGATTCCCATTCACTCTTCAAACAAGAAAGGGGAAAAGAATAATAACAAATTGTAAAGCCTGCAAGCAATAACTATCAAATTTTATTTATAATGAAATTAAAGAGACCTTTTTATTTACTGCTATGAAAAATATCGTTATTAAGAAATAATTACTGCTGATTTTGTTGTTCGTTTTGTCATTTTTTTAAGATTGGAAATGTTGCAAAATTGTTAAGTCGTACGAAAAATAGATCATCAGAAAGTTATCTCCCTTGCCTTGAACAGCATTTCATCCAATGAAATAATTGAAAATTTTCTCATCATGCAATTTCTACCAATCACAAAAGAGAGGAAGTGCATAGTCCGAAGACTGTAAAAAACTTCAACTATACAATACCGTCTTCCAAGGAAGACGGTAATAAAGTTATGGACATCATCTTATGTCTAGGGTTTACTTAGGAGAGAAAGTATGAAGTCTGGTGCAAGCGTTTCAGGAGTTTATTTAGCAATTATTTATAAGATGCATCCCAATGTATAAAATACCCAGCAGACATTTATTAATTTATTTATTTTTGCCAACGCTACTATATAGTAAATAAATATGAAAACATTAAAATCTCAAATATCAAAAAGAAAGGTATGATATTTCGACCCCCTTTTCACTTTACTACATCACAATGAGCTCTACTACCACGCATGATAAGTGGATTGATAAACGGGTCAATGATCCTTTTACTTCTATCTATAAAGAATTTATTTTAAATATAGTATCTAGCAAATGGCACATCAGAGCTTAGGTTCTATCATACATAATGTACATAGCCAGATTTTTAACAAATTAAAATCAAAAGCTGTACAAAAATTCCATATTTTATCAAAAGCATTTAGTCCAAGTCAGAGTTCCAGAAAACGTCGCTTGGACGAATTTCTAGATTTCCGCTAAACACAGAAAAGTTAGATTGCCTTGTTTATACTGATGGATTGTAGATTGTTTTGCCGATAAATGTAGCTAAAACTTCTCAGAATTTGTCAGATATTGGCATATTATTATTAGATGTAGGACAACGTCGTTTATAATATGATATAAAGAGTCTGATATTTGAAATGTTAGATCACTCAAAGAATCTCATTACTTTTCCATCTAATTCGAGTGACACGAGATTTTCTCGGGATTTGCAGGGAAGTGGTCCTTTCCCTGAATTCTGTGGCATGTTCTTCGTTTGATACGTGACAGTCTATGGAAGATTCCATGGCATCATCCAGTGACATTGTACTTCCGTTGTAGCTGCTGACATCAGACATAGAGCTCGCGCCTTCATATACCCATCTTAGTTCCATCATGGCAGCATGGAGCTCAAAAAATCGTCGCATGAGCCTTATGTCATCTTTTCTTAAAATTACCTAAAATGTATATCAAGGTACTTATATATTGAACATATATTTGAATTCTACATCTATATATTATTTCAAACACTCACACTGATATTTTGAAAAGGTTTAGAACTATGGGATTGTAATTTTTTAAAAAGTGTATTGGGAATTTAGTACCATTTACATCTAAAGTCTCATTTTGTAGGAACCGGATAACGTCCGGTATTGATGGAATTATGTTCTTTCTTTTTTTTGAGTTCTAGTGATACTTTTATATCAGGTATTAATAACTCTCATTATGTATAGGAAACAGAGGAAAACATTAATTTTGAAATCAAACCTCCTTAAGATTTAGTTTAGATTTCGAAGTACATGTTATAAAACCTTGTTATTTCCGTCTGAGAGACCCTTTGCGGTCAAAGACTATATAAAGGAAGATCAAGTTTTATTTTACAAATTAGAAGTCTCGTTTATACAGTTTTAAATGACAATTTTCCATTAGTTATTTAGGACGATTGTCCGATAATCTAGGGCCGTGACGTATCTTCTCTGTCGCCGACAGGTATCTGCAGATAACATCTGCCGGGTGCGTTTGATTTCTTCATCTTCTTAAATTACTCTTCTCTTCCTTTGTAAATTAGATTTTTATCAGTTTTCGTCTTAACTGAAGAAATATTTTTGCAATGTTTTCCATTTATAAACAAAATATTTACATGAAAAACAATAATATTCGTCGTGCGTTTCAGTTTTTTTCTCGTCAAATCTTTTCTCGCGTCCTTTGCAACCTCAATCTTTTCATGACAAACGATGGATTATGTAGATTTTGAATCTGAGTGATATACGAATTCCCAGATTAACAAATGGTAGATTAATTTTGCTACACCTGGTTATTGATTCCATTTATAATATGCTAAAATGATGATTTGAAAAAAGCGATATATATCCTTAATATATACGGTATATATCATTTTATCCGCCATATTTACTAGTTTTCGATCTGAGAGCAATAATAATAACTTAATCAACTATAAACTGGCGAATTGCGTATTCTCAAACAGAAGAACCTCTAAGAGTTTATCGATGTTTTTTTATTTAAGGTGTTGCACTGACAGATATCGGAAATTGTTTCTTTACAATTTCATTTTAGTTTGTTCGGAACAAAATCTCCTTCAGAAAATGTAATTAAGAAGAAAACACTTTTACTGGCTATAATGTCAAGAACAAGCAACAAAATTTTCACTTGTCGCCACTCTGCAATTTTACAAAAAGCTCCAAATCCAGAATTAAATAAACATCACTTGCAAATCAATTTTTTCAACAGAATTATGTATTTTGCAGAAGAATGTGCAAAGCATCTAAGATCAATAGAAATTTTCCGTAAAATAAATAAAGTAAACTGGCCCCAAGACCATAAACTGAAAACAGACTTGTGTGAAATTACAGATCGATATGACGATACAAATAATTTTGATAACGAAAATTTTTTTTACCATATTATGTATAAATTGGATTTTTTTTTCATAACCTGAAAAATTTGAATAACCCATTTATTTTAAATAAAAAGCTATTTAAAATCAAAATTTTGACTTAAGTCTGTTCTTAGTTTATGGTCTCAAGGCCTGGTCAACAGTTATTCTTACCATTTGCTGCTTGACCCATTGCAGTGCAGATGTTATGTCCTTTTTCCTGAACTCCGGACATTTCTGACCGCTTTCTTCCTCTCTGTTGACCCTCGTGAATCTTTGAGGAAGGGTTACGGGGGTCAGATCTTCAGTGACATCACAGTGGAGGAGGCACGTGGGTATGGGGAGGTTGATGGGGTTAATTTCTACACTGAACTGTTGATGTTCCATGTACTTCTGTCCATTACAAACATTTCTGATTAATCATTGGTTTATCTCTTTTTAACGTGCGATACGGATGCCTGATTAACGAGTCACGTCTTACAACCCGGGGCAATATTATCTGTAATGGTGTATACTATCTAGATATCGTACTCAAGAAGCTTTTTGAGCTGATGTGCGATCTGCAGCGATTAAAACGCTCTTGTGGCATAATGCATTACAGAAATGTAACGATTCGCATTAACCCAGGTATTGTGATCAGCCATCGGCTGTTCCATGTTTATCAGATTTTGATGATACCATGTACAGAATGTTATATAAAGTAAATATAAATATTTTAAAGTTTACCCTCACTATTCTCACTCACATAAAAAAATCTGCCGTATTAAAATGCAAATAACTTTAGGAAACCTTACAGATAGATTTAACAAAAAGGTGGGACCAGGTGCCAATGAGGAGTGGGCATTCCCTGCCTACCGGTCACACCCGCCATGTGCTCCTTGTCGTGATCTAGAAATAACGGAAACAACCGTCTAAAATTCAAGGTGAAAAAATGGCCTAACTATTAGCATAAAAACGTTAGTAAGCATTTGACTTAATGATAGATTGTATTTGCTGACAAGGTCATTGTATATTGACCATACATGTACGATTTACCATAGATTACTTTACACGAGACTAGTACTGCTGATATTCTTGTTTCATAAACTTGTTTTCCAATAACTTTCCTCTTTTAGAGATTGTTCATACGTAGAGAATGTTCTAGAGTATAGAATCAACTGAGAGATATGAACCCCGTATGCAGGTGACACGACACATTCCTCAAATATCTGTTTTGTGTCCATTCATAGCAGATCAAAACTATTTCAAAGATACCATTCTCTTGTGATTTGTTTTGAATGTGTCTTTAAAAGTAAGTACATGTACTCTAGAGACCATCAAAAGGATTATATAGGAAACACCATCATCTTTTATCTTGCACAAATGCCTCGAGTAGGGTACCTCGATGTTTAGCCAGGAAACTAGCTATGGTAACTTACTTAAATGAGACATTCTTGAAGAACATTATGTGTCATTGTGGAAATTTGTCGTCTTACCTTAATGTAAATAAAAATATCAAACAACATTATTTTATATTATTGTATTGAATTCAAAAAAAGGGTGAGAAAAGAATTGAACTATAATTTTGAATTATTGACGGCATAGCTATACATGGTATTTCCTCTTTTAAATATAGGAGAGTGCAATTATTCCTTCATCCTTAACTCTCTACGGGTCAGGAGTTAAATCTTGGTCAAACATATGATTTTTTTAAGTCCGTCGTTATTGCATGGAATTGTGGAAGAGAAGGAGTTCTGAGATATTTGCACACGAAATCTATATAGATTTCAACCCAACTTTCCTCCGTGCTTACATGATGGCCTAAGAAGCTTGCTGCAAAGGCAACTCTTTGCAATAACGTTCATGACTTCATGGTAGCACTGTGTAAATTGTGATGCTCCGGCACGCCGGTGTCCCCTGTTTTTAAAAAAATGCCTCTTAGAAATAAATATTTGATCGCGGAGGGAAGTATATGTGGATAACGAACAGTATTCAAGCTTAAAAGTCCATTAAACAATAGAAATTTGAAGCTGAGAAAACATGAACTTCTAAAATATAAAATAAAAGATCAGGTGCCATGGAGGTGTTATATCATCCCCGCCGTCTGGTCACACCAGGGGTATGCTCCTTGTCATGATCGGGAAATAGCATAAAATCCGTCGACAAATCAATGTGTAAATGATGGCCTGAGAAATGTAAGCATAAAATACGTCCATCAGCCTTTGATGTAATGATAAATCGTATTTGCTGACAAGAGCTTACGAAATCATGCCTTTAAACGATACTGCTGGTATACTGATGTTCTTATTTCATCAACTTATTTGTCAATGACCTACCTCGTTTTAGAAACTGATTATAAGTAGAGCATGCATTTGCGTATCAAATCATTTGCGAGATAAAAACCCGCATGCAGGTGATAAACGTAGACTGTTGCATAAGTAAGGGAAGTTGAAGATTGAAAATTCAAAGTCATCATGTTTATCATAGAGTTTTACTGTTAGATTACCATTTAAATTGTTTTCTAGTAGAATATCCAAATATGAAACAAATGTTATTTCAAGCTCACCGGGATATATAGTATCGACATAGGAATAAGCATTGTTAATTGATAATACGTATATTCGATATGCTAGTATCTAAATGTCTAGTTGAAGGCAACAGTACGTGTTTTCTTATATACACGTTTAAAATTTTGAACAAAAATACAAATACAAATCTGTTAATAAGTGGGCGCAATTGGTTCCAATGGAAATTCCATTGGATTGTTGAAAGATCTGGTAATTAAGAGATTCACTAGAATACGCTAAGTTTCAATTGAACTATTAGTCGTAATTTTTCAAGGCCTACCCTAATCTCTCGTTTAAGTGCGCAACCATAATCAGTCAAATAGTGTTTAACATCTTGGTTTGCAGATGGCTATACAGTAATAGTTCTCAAGGACTTAAGTTGGTTTTAGACTAACCCTAACAACTGGAATAATGTGCAAGGTCTAACCGAAAATTTCTCAGGTGGGTGCAAAGCTATGATCCCTTAATCACCCCAAGATGTGCGAGCAGTAACCCTTATTAGTCGAGTGATTTGCGGGGGACAAGCTCTATAATGGATGAAACCATGAAATAAAATCCGTCAAATTGTTTTCTATGACAATTACCACTCTGTTGGCTTTTTAATATTGGTCATTGGATCAAAGACTGATTTCACAAACGTTGATTGATTCTCCGCCCCATCGGACTTTCCGTGCCAGGCCATTGCACTTACACACCTGAAGCGGGTCTCGAAGAAAAGAGCCACCATCGCACCTTGGACTTTGGAATCTTGAAATTTTTTCCAGTCCATTTGATGAATGATTTAAACTGAAGAGAAGTGGTCGAGTTACTATTCCTCTGACGTTTTCTAAAGAAAAAAATGTAAAAAATTATATATTTTCTCAGCAATATGATTGACTACTGGGATTTTCGTGTTTTGGCACGATAAAACTGTTCTCGTCCATTAAATATTTTGGAGATTATGCTAAGCCATAATTCTGTATAGATACACTTTGCCAAGAGCTTGTGTGAGAGAAAACGCAACATTTGATCAGATTAAACGCCAATCCATGGCTATTTATCAATTCATCTCAATCGAGCACGCCAAAATGGCCAGTAAAAGTGTAAGAGGAGCAGATATCAAGATGGCAAATGCGGATATTGCGTCCTCCCCCCTTAGATGGAGAAGATCAGGCAACAGGGTAGCAGGCCTGCAAGTTCCCGACTTATCCGACTTTAATTAAGGGATAGCTGAAGAATCCGGGTTTTAATCAGTGACGTAGGACAAATTCTTGCTGCAAGTCATATATGACGATTTATTGAGTGCACCAATCCGCGTGATTACGGGAAATGCTATTTACGTCGTTTAGGATAATTCATATAATTGGCTGGAAATCATCGGCTATCTATCTATAATGAATTAGCCAGTTTCTTGTCAATGATAACGACTCATCATTATTTCTAAATATCTTAAACCAGAACTAACAGTCTTTAAATGGATGTAAAAGTGATTGGAAAATGATAAACATTATTGTCTCTGTGAAGTCTAACGATCGATTTCCGTGGAAGAGCATTGTTGACAAAAACGAATGGACCGGTGAAATACTGAACTAACGCATGGAACACCTGAATTATTGATCTCAATCAAATGTAATGATTAAGCAATGTGGCGAGTACCGCTTGATGTTGGGAAGATGGTGGGGAATTCTATTAAAACTGGGGCACCACGGGACGTTGTAATATGAATAGGGAATTTAATTAAGGACGGAAGCTAGTGGACAGATTTGACAGCATGAAGCCTAATTGTTTTCTACCAATTTCTGCGGGACCAGCGACATGTTTGTCGGGAGGCTAGTGGACAATGATGCTGCTGGGGTGGTGGTCATTATGTGTTTGTCTTTACTGGCTTGGTGGTGCTGGGACTTCTAAGGTAGAGGTCCTTCTTATCTGCGATCAAACTTTCCAAGAAATTTGCCAAAAGAAGCAACATGACGTAAAAGGTGACGTAGACGTGACGTTGGTATCTGCCAATGACAGCAACTCTTACATCAGCCATGTGGAAAACATACACAGTTTGTTATGGAATGACAAGCATTTTGACGTCCTTGTGATATTCGGGGACAGCAGCTTGATAAGTGCCGCTGGCACAGTGGTTCAAGGAACCCGAATACCAGTGATTGCTTATAACAAAGGCTCTGTACCAACGGTAAGTTTTCGGTGGAGACATACTGTTGTTGTATATGTTTTTTGTTGTTGTTTTTTCAAAATCAATACTTTAAATGCTGTGCTTAGCAAAAAAGATAATATAGAAAATAAAACTTTCAGTGTATCAATAATTTTCATCTCTCAAACCTTCACTCACTCTAAATAATTAATTTTACAGTTGAATAGGCCAATGTTCTTGTATTGATTTTGATGAGAATTTGCATTATGAAGTTCTACTTGCTATTTAAAATTTACAAAATGGACAGAAGTTCCAGTTTGCAACTAGTTTTGCATTAGGAATCCTGTCTGAATCTTTTGATTAATGAGGAGAAAACTGTCTGAATCTGCTAATTAATGAGGAGAAAGCTTTTAATTAATTTGCTAAAAACACGTGTATGCTCATATTCATTTTGAAATATTGAAAACGAATTCAGTAAATATTTGCCAGTTTTCGAATACGATAAAGTTCCGAGAGTGTTTGGTTTAACTACTTTACTTTACACAATGGACGGTAACGAAAGAGGAGAATTTCCATCTTATTTCTAATTAATATTTCGTCTGTAAAAAACAAAAATTAAGCTTTGTTTAAAATATTGCATTCAAAATCTTTTAAACCAAACAGTGTGCAGAAATATCTAATATGCTAGCGGAATTTGGTTACCCCTTCGATTTATGTAAAAATATATTATAAATTTCCGAAAAGATTTTCGTTCTCTAAAAAATTTCATGATAATATACAATTGCAATCATAACGATAAACTCTTTCCCCATCAGTAATGGAGAGAGCGAATCTCTCCTTCCAACTATACACAATAACATCGGACGTTAAAGGCATAATCTGGACTTTGAGATATGTACCCGAGTAAAGGTCGTCAACATTCTCTAATTTGAAATTATTTCGAGTACCAAAGCTACAGTTACATTTCAGATTTTATATTACTAATTGCCGAGTAATCTTGACATTGTTTAAACTTGAATCACTGTCTTGAATACCTTAAGAATACGGTTACTCTTGTTAGTCATCGCCTTAACGTATTAAAGAATACCAAAAATAATTCCCCTCACCCAATACGAGAAGATGAAATAATAATCAGGTTGGGGAATTGTTACCCCAAATCTCCAAATAAAATATATGGAGATAACGACCAGTATTCAAGCTCAAAAGTCCATTCACCAATACAAAATAGGAGCAGAGTAAAAACATCAGAGGTAGGATCAGGTGCCATGGAGGAGTGAACATCCCCTGCTGACCAGTCACACCAGCCGTGTGCTCGTTGTCATGATTGGAAAATAACGAAAAAATCCGTAGATTCCTGATACTAGTACATGTATATATGCTTGTTTCATCAAATTGTTTGTTAAAGCTGACATGAACTCTTAAAAAGCCATCATTTTTCATCTTTGTACGACTTACTACATTCCTGTACGCCTTTGTCCGCCATATTTCTTGGATTCCGCATTTAATTGAAAATTTTTGGTCACCTGTACCTGCTATATATAGCCTTGTACGATTGCTTCACTTGAGTGATTTTCTAGCCTGACTGTCGACATGTACACATCTCCGATAACAAATTTTTAGAAGTCCATAAACTGACCAAATACATGTTTGAAAAGTAAACATTCAACAAAAAATAGAACTATTCCGAGAATTAAATTATTTTTGAATGCATTTGCTGCAATATAGAAAATAAACTAACACGGAATACATACATGTACACCAAACACCCATGCAGGTCGAGAAAACGCGTCAAACGCAGTGATAAAAACATTTACCTGACTACTGCTATCGTTATAGGGATGTGCACATGTCGAAAGAATTATCCAAATTTACTTTTATTGAAAAATGCATCTCAGAAGTCATGTAATCCATTGCTAACTCAACAGTAAAAGATGCTTGGACACACGTGGCCCATGCCGATCATTTTATTTGGTCAGGGAAAATATCAAAGGTTGAAAGCTCAGTGGGGGTGATTGAAAAAAAATGCAAGTAATTTTTTCGAAAATAAACATTACTCTTGTCTGTACATGTTGTAAATAAAATTTACGATTAAGTACATGGTTTAACTTCATCAAATTCATTAAAAAAAGCAGGCATTATTACGAATCATTCACCTTTTGAAGATATTTTCCCGTGATATGGGGGGGGGGGGTAATAAAACATGCATAACACTCTCAAAAAAATAATGTAAGAAAAACGTCTGAAACAGATTGGATTTCTTTATGATCAATTATTATCAAAAAATACTGTGTATTGGCTTTATTAGACCTAATATAATTTGATTTAAAGTTATTTATAATTTTATGCACTATGAAAGAAAAAGTGAGTGCGTTCACATACCCAACGCTCCCCCAAAAGTCGAAGTGCTGAAATTCCCAGAAAAAAATAAAGGAATCGTAATTTCCGTATAATATGCACATCTATACACATTGTGTCCTAAATATCTGCAAAGTTTGACGAAATTGTGTGCAGCGGTTTATGAGGAGTAGCGCTGACAAACTGCTCACCTCTATATTCAAGATATGGCCAAAATCTAAATGTAAAATTGCGGAAATTCCCGAAAAATAAAGAATTCGGAATTTCCTGGAGATGTGCAAATCTACACACACATTGTCTCCTATAAATATCTGCAAAGTTCGACAAAACTCTGTACAGTGGTTTATGAGAAGTTGTGCTGACCAAAAAAAAAAAAAAAAAAAAAAGACTGACTGACGGGTCAAAAACATTACACCTCACGCGTGGGGTATAATAAACGAGTTTGATTCTTTGGTACAATGATAATGAAAATAGAATTTAATGTGAATTAAATTTCTAGACATAAATAATTAATGATTATAAGAAAAAGCATATAGGAAGAGAGAGTAAACTCCTCGTGAAAATTCCACATTCTACCTAAAACTAGCTTTTTAAAAATTCTCTTGTCTGTTGTCCAAGTTCGACACATACGTTTGAGAAGGTATTCGGGAAAGTTCCCAATGTTCCCATTCCTGTGATGTATATTTCACGTTTATTATATCCCCCGCCTGAAAAGTGGGAGGTTATATAGTAATCGTTATGTCCGTTCGTCTGTCTGTCACGCTTTGGGGAACCCATCTCTTATCCGCAAATCCTCTTATACCACTTAGAGAAATTTAATGAAACTTTCAAAGAATCTTAAGTTTATTACATATTACCATTATGCACCTCCTATTTTACTTTTTGATCTGACACGTATGGGTTTAGCGAAATTTTGCTTTGCCGTTATAACCATATGGGAGGCGGGGAATGAGCTCATTGCTCATAATACATGTACGTCTAGTTTCTATTTCAATTTGGGCGTTTGGGTTAATTTCCTGTCCAAAGTAAAATAATTATTATTATTCAATTTATGAAGTTTCGACATCCCGCCTGAAATAAATCCTTGATCTGTCCTAAGGCATAATAAGTGGTACAGTACAAAGTGCGTAGGATTTTATACCTATCATTGCCACAACGGGTGGTTACAGACAGAAAGAGAGAGAGAGAGAGAGAGAGAGAGTTCAATATACAAAAGAATAAATAATAATTATCCGTATTCAACCAGTGTCAAGTATCCCTACCTTAGCTTTTAAAATTATCTCCCGAATTCACCTACAGAAATTATTTATATATATAAAAAAATACCTAGACTATCAGGCAGGGATACTGAAATCTCGAAATACTTCCTGTAACAACATAATTATTAAACAATTACATTCCTCAAAATGCACATACTTTGTGGTCGGAGTGACACATTTTAAAAAAATCTCAAAACTGAATTCGGCAGAAATGTCTGTCTTCCAAGAATACTTAAATAACAGTTCATGTCAATTATTTTTGTATGACCCCCCCCCCCCCCCCGTCCAAAAAAAAAAAATGCCTAAATGTCAATCTGAACAGGTCTTGTATGCCCCCCCCCCCGTCCAAAAAATCAAATGCCTAAATGTCAATCTGAACAGGTGATGGCCTTTCTCCGTGTGTGTATGTGTTAAAGAATGTATAGATGAACACATAAAAATTTGTACTCTGGTTAATTGCTTTTAAGATTTGAAGTAAATTATTGCCGTACATCAAATTACTTGTTTTAGATTTGAGATTAGTAATAAAATAATCAGTTATAATTGACAAATGAATTTTGCGACGCAAACCAACTGCAGACTATATACATGACTTTGTATAGCATGTATATTAGAACTACATGTAGATAAACAATTCACAATTATAGCTTATGAACATCAGTTATAATACCCCCCCTCCCCTTTTACCCGCGCAAATACCAAATAACTTCTCTTTCCACTTTTGATATTTTCCCTGACCAAAATCTGATCAGCACGGACTAAGTGTATTGTCGTGCTAGTGTGTATGGAGTAATGACAGTGTGTTTACTAATGAGCTTTTATGGAGTTTATTTCTTTTTTGTGATGCATATTTCAATAAATGGAATTCAGGGTGTATATCACTTGACTTGTGCACATCTTGGAACCGACGCAGTAACCTTATTACCAGGTATGGGTATGTTTACAGCGTTCGAGGCGTTTTCTCGATATGCATCAATTGCATAGGACATGCAAATCAAAGACGTTGGTTGTTTTGTTTCATTCAAATGATATAATTTCAAAATGTGTTTGCAAATTTTACTGCTTTTTATTTCAAGTTTATTCTGCATAAATTGGCGCACTGTAAAATACGTACTCATGCATCTAAATTTCTCTTCCAAACTTGCATTTTTTTCTTTTGATTCAAATCAATAATCATTCAAAAATATGATTATTATGTTGTTTATTTTGTTTTTAAAATGTCTTGATCACCTCAAGTGTTCTCATATGCTTTACCATCGGAGATGTGCACAAGTCGATACCCAATCCAAAAAATCATTCAAGTGTAACGAGCGCATTGGGGTATACATCGTTACAATGAGACAAGGTATCTGAAAGAAATATGGCGGAATACGGCTATAGTTGGTATGAAACAAGTCGTACATAGATGAAAATGTTGCGTTTTTAAGA